ATTGTGGTAGAATGTCTTGATGTTATAATTCTGGGTTGATCTTTTTAGGTGTATGGTGAACTCTTTCAATATGTAACTTCTAATCTTTTTTCCTTCTTGAATAATAACTTTTAGCATTTCTTCTGGTCCCTTGATTTAGTTTTCTTTTTTTATGGCTGTGCTTGTAACAAATTTTTCTATTTTTTTTTTTGTATGTAGCTGACCAGCCTACCAGATCTTTTATGCAGTTCGACATACAAGGTGACACCAAGGTAAGACAAATGAAGTTCCAGTTTGGGTGCCTCCATCTCCCTCCCCTGGATCCTGATCCAGTGACTGCCAAAACCAGAAAGAACTGGGGTAGGGTGCTTGATCATGGGGAAGGCTGTTGTGGTTCGCCCGGCAGATAGGAAAGGGGAAAAGTTTCACTTCTTCACAATTTGAATGACATCCTCGTCCTCCAACGTATGGTCTTTACCCACTTTCTGAGGATTGTGTTTCACAGACAGACCCCAGACCAGAGCATATTTAAATTCTTTGATAAGATTTTTGTGAATCTTCATGCAGAAATCCTCCACTGTGGTCCTGGAGTAAGGAAGTACCACTGGGGATGTGTAATCTGGTAATTGGCCTTTGGGTTTGGTGTAAATTCTCACTAGTTTCAGATAGTCCCAGATCTTTTCCAATAAGTCATCAAAATTCCAGCGGTGATGGGCAGAGATGGGTACACAGTGAGGCACCTTACAGATGATATCCAATTCCTCAATGGAGATTTGGTCAATCTTATTTAACACATAGATACAGGGGATATAAACTCTGTTTCCTTCCACCACATCAATGAGGTCATCAGCTGTAGCATCACTACGTAGAGTCACATCAGCATTATGAATCTTGTATTCGGCCAGAATGCTCTTCACAGTTTCAGCATCTAGCTCACTCTGGGGGCAAGTGGCTGTGAGATTAATGCCTCCCTTGTCTTTCTTCTTAAAGCCAATGTTGGGGGGTTTGCTGTTCAAGCGAATGCCAAAGCCTTTCAGCTCATTTTCAATTATCTTCTTATGTCCCAAAGGTTTCAGGACATTCAGAACAATCAAGATCAAGTTACAGGTTTGGGCCACTGCAATGACTTGACGACCTCTACCCTTCCCATCCTTGGCACCTTCAATGATACCTGGGAGATCCAGGAGCTGGATCTTGGCACCTTTGTATCTGATGACACCAGGCACAGTGGTCAGAGT